GGGGATACTGGATTGTACCATGTTGATAGGGAACAGAGGGGACATGTGCATTGTTTTCTAAAATACCCAAAACAGCCTGAACTGTTGATGTTTCCGTGTGAGAACTGTTGGAATCAAATTTGTTCATGATGTTTGATTGATGTTGGCCATGTTTGGTTTGCTCCTGCAGGAAGCGCTACAGGTATATAAGGCCTGGAATAGATCCTCCTCAGCGAGAGTCTTATTCTCAGTTGTCACTAAAGTCCCTTATTACATGATTCTGCGCAGCCACTCAGACTATTATTGTGTCATTGGATTTGTACTCAGTGCAGCAGGTGTTAGCGTTGGTTAGCAGACGGCATTTCTGATTATAAACAGAATATGCCCCTTCAGTCATGTGCCTTGAAAACTCCTGCATTGTGTGCTTGGCCATATTATTATCTGCTTAGCTGCTTCATATTCTGCCTCCTTTTTGTGATTTTATAATTCACCCACATTCTGACTTTGGCCAGAGGCAGGACAGTCAGAAGTCTTTCTTTCTGCTGGCATTTCAAAGGATCGGCAGGCCAGAGGGCTTCGGGCATGAAAGACCAAAATGAATGTCACAAGGTTACCGTCAGTGTACTTCACAACAACCTGCTAGAGGAGAGCCGGGCAGAAGCCAAATTTAGGTTTAAATCTTTCAAAGGTAATGTGACAGAAGTATTGATTGGCAGTGGGTGTAAAGGCTTCTGTACTGTGGTTAATGCCAGAGAGCTGTAGGTTAGTGAACCTGTGTGGCATGGAAGGACCTGACGTACTGATTCTATGTGTAGCTAAGATGGGATGCAGAAAAAGAAATCATGGACCCAAGAGGCACTGATTACAGTCTTCAAGTTTCTCTGATTAGATGATCACATGAGCATGTTGACAGTCAGCGCTGTCAATCCCAGTTTGGAGCTGGACGACTATTGGTTAGTGAGCTAGGTACCACCTGGGAGGAATTCTTACTGGCTTGTACAGCTGGGAGGTTAGCTAGTTTTGTGGGGCTTAAGGAATGGCAGAAGTAAACATCTTTGTATCTTAACAGCTTTTATTTTACAAGTTTGTAACAGCCACAAAACACACAAAAAAGATTTTCACCATATGGGACATATGGACACAAACCCAAATCAAAGCCCAGGAAGCAGAAGCCTTCAAGGAGAATATTAACTTTGTGGACGGCAACATCAAGTTCACAAGAGAAGACATGAAGGATAACCAACTGTTTTTTTTTTTTTGGTACTTTACTGTCCATGTTGAGGAGAATGGAAGCCTCAACACTGAAGTCTACAGAAAACCTACACACACAGACCAGTATCTGCTCTTGGATTTCCACCACCTGCTGGAACACAAGCTGGGAATCATCAGAACCTTAAAGCACCAGGCTGAGAACATTCCTCCTAATGCAGCGGGAAAGGAGAAGAAGTGTATTCACATTAACAACGCACTGAGGAACTGTGACTACCCCAGCTGGGCCTTTACCAAATCATCAAAGAGATGTAGAAAACACAGCATCACTATACGAGATGTGTTTCAGGACTGGTGTCACAAAAGGTATATTTCAAATTCAAACTACAAACTACAAGTTTTCCCCTTCCAAGTAATCCTCTTGGAGTCTAACACACTTCCCCAGCCTTCTCTGCCACGCCGCCATGACCTCATGGAAGGATTCTTCCAGGATCCTCCGCAGCTCCGTCATCACAGCCATCTTGATGTCGTCCACGTCTTCAAAACGGGTCCCCTTGATGACCCCCTTGAGCTTGGGGAAGAGGAAACAATCCCACGGAGCCAGATGGGGTGAGTAGGGAGGTTGCTCCAGCCCGGAGATGTTCTTCTCAGCCAGGAACTGTGGGATGCTCAGGGTATTGTGAGCAGGTGTGTTGTCATGGTGAAGCAGAAACAACTTGTCCTGCCACAACTCTGGCCTCTTCTCATGCACTGAATGAAACAAATGCTGCAGGATCTCTTTGTAGACGTGCTGGTTGATCGTCTGAAGGGGAAAACTGGTAGTTTGTAGTTTAGGTTTGAAATATATCTTCTGTGACACCGGTCCTGGAACTTTTCTGACACACCTCGTAGACAGTGAAAAAAGGAAGAACAGGAGGAACAACATTGTCATCCCTTATGGAGCTGGAGTATCTGAAAAACTCCAAACATAACATACCAGTGCACTTCAGACCCAGCAACATTCTGAGACAAAAACTGGTTCACCCCAAGGACAAAACACCAAAACACAAGCGGAGCAATGTTGTATATGCAGTCCAATGCAGCGAAGAGCGCACAGACTTGAACATAGGAAAGACTAAACCACATCTCCACATATGGCTCAACACAGGAGAGCAGCTCATCAGGATAAGACTCAGTGAGTCTTGGAACAGGGACACTAGAGTCAGGGACACTCCTCTGAGGACAGCAATGTACACATTTTGGACAGAGAGGACAGATGGTTTGACAGAAGAGTGAAGAAAGCCATCTTTGCCAAACTGGAACAGCCATCTC